CTAGGTGTATATTTGTTTTCACCAGTTGTGGATGAGTATAATGTTGTTTAATTTTGCTTATTCAGAGTTCAGTTTCGAGAAAGTGTCTTAAGTAAGAAGAAATCAGTTCAGTTAAATAGAAAAGAAGCCCAAAAACAACAGGTGCTCAACATCATGAAAATTAAACCTTATTTTCAATAAGCAATCCTGAAAAATATTTGGGGGTGCTTAACTTTTTTCCAGGTGTATAGTAATTTTCGGAGTTTTTTCCTTCTCTTTGCGAAATACCATGGCTGGCAAAGAAATATTTGACAACAGATGTTGTATTTATTGTTCGTTTCCTTTATGATCCATTAACTGTGATCACTCTGAAGTTTGACTTGATAGCCAATCTGCAGTATAGTATTAACAACTGTAACTCTTATGATGCATTGCACACCTCCTGTCCTTCCAACACAAATAAATAAGACAGAAAGGATTTCAACACTTTAATGCTCTGACATCTACTCCTGAGTGGAGTGGTCATACAGTGTCGGGACTCCAATTTCAGGTACCACAGCAGCACTCCTTGTGCACTCCAGAATCACTACACCACTAATGATATGGTGAAGTGTATGCTTTCACCACAACTAACGCTTGTCACAACTTAGAGAACAACTGACTGTTAAGTCAGCTACTTCATCTATGAAGATCTCTCCAGATACTTCAAAGTATAATATCCATTGTTCAGCCAACAGATTTTGGAATGGGTATGCTAACATGTCAGCCAGTAGATAAGCTTCAGCCAAATTGTGATAAGTAACAACCAGCACCTACCAATTACATTTATCAGTTTTGAGCTGAAGACCAGCTATATCTTGGACAATTCTCTCAAGAAGAGAACCTACAACTCTCTGATGAAATTTATAATGCAGATTTTTACTCTATGCAACACAAATGGTACAGTGTTTAGCTTCTTTACCACATGGTGTTGCATCATTTTGTGCAGAACTGCATCCAACACCCACATTTCACCTTACTGCACCTGTCCTGCCAACACAAATAAATAAAATGATGACCAGTCCACCCAGTATTGAGTAGCTTATATGCTGTTAGACAACATATTCAAACAACAAGTTTTGATGTCTTGTTGTCCATAGAGACTACTCAAGTAAGTCTTGGGACATTCAAGTTTGGTATGTTTCCTGTTCATCATAGATAGGGATGCCAGAAAAGAAGGCAATATCATAATGAGATGTGTGCTCACTTCCAACAGAATCATGGCCTAAAAAAGCCTAATTATGTCTAACTTAAAAAGGATAACCAAATTATCAGAGAGTTCATCCAAAGCCTCTTGCTTGTCAATGAAGGTTAAATTGGCAGATTCTCCAACAATAGTGTCCCCTTTCACCTTCAAAAAACATCCAGGGATAACTAAAACTTCAAAGGCTGCATCCACATCACTGACTGGATGGCAAGGAACCCAAGACTTAACAGCAGAAACTCCAACAAATTCCCAACAGAATATGATTCAAAGACAGTGATTCATTGCTGGCACCACTGTCAAGCCCATGTGAAATACTGCAATGTTGTCTTGGCATTTCAGTCATTAAGAGAAAAACATTGTCACCGTGGGTGATATACTGATTACCTTAAAATACAAATGTAAGGATATGCATTTTATATATTTATTTCTTTTCAATTTCTTTTTTGCATGCATCTATTATTTGGTTACTGTATATATTTATTTTAAGTTTTTTTTTATGCAACTCTAATATTGATTGTATATTTGAAAAGTATTTTAACCTTTTGTATATATTTGTATTAAGGGCTTTCTTCATTGATTTATACTTCTATTTTATGTAGAAATTGTGTATTTATATTATGGGTTTTGCAGATATTTATATATTTTCTTCCTTTTTATATAAATTATTTTTTTATTATTTTAGTGTAACTCAACTTTTGTATTGTTGAACTCGTTTTTAAGAATACAATGTAGTGATCACATTCATTTGAACTTCATAGTGATTTACATTACAGCAAGAAATGATAAAAATGGAGGTCAGAAGTGCTTTATTAAGTGCAATATTTTTAAAACCCTAGTCTGTTTATGCAAATCAAAATGATAATGTCATTGGTATAGATTAATGTAATTATTACTAGTCTGGGTAGGAAATTTTTTTACATTCAATTAGTTATGTAATACCTTTTCAGTGGTTTCATAGCCATATTGTATGTTTAATTAAACATGAATGATATATCTGTATATTAAAGATGGGATGACTTACAATATACTTCTGTGGTGTAAATACATTTTATAATTTGCTTTTTGATCAAAGCACTTATTATAAAAACTACCATGCAGTGAGAAAAAGTTCTTCAGGCTTTCTTAAAGTGAGTCTTTTTTTTCACCCCATGGGCAATTTGTCAGACAGTTTGAAAAATAACTTGATCTTTTTAGTGTAAGAATCAAACAAGTTGGTTGGTACCATTTGGGTGTACAAAACAAGAATAGTATCACAATATCTCTCTTGTCAAGTGAAAGCTATTTTTGTTTAATAATCTTTCAAAAAAGGTATATTGATATTAAATGTGTCTTCATCATCTGACAACAATGAGAACTGACCACACAACTGCTGCATAAATGTGAATGATTCACCTGATATATATATATATATATGTAGTTACAAGGCTGGTGTAAGTGACATCAGTAAACTCAGGTACTGACTTTATCTTTTTTTTATGTGTACCAAAAAAGGGTGATGTGGATTCTTATCAACTAACCCCATATGCTGATTGTTTGAATAAACACTCTCTCTTGATGCAGGTTTCCAAACAGAAATAAGGAGACATTGTTTGGAAAGCTCTAAATCTATCTTATCATCCTGTCTCCACTCAAAGGTTGATTGTGCAGAGGGTCAACTGATGATAATGCAGAATGAATGATTGGATGTGTAGATGATGAACTAGCACACAGAAATGAGTTATTCTTGAGCTTCTATCATATAAGTTCACAGAAGAGTGCAAATGGTCTGCTTGCCTATGCCTAGCAAATTAACATAAATGTACTAATAAGTACAAATTGCCAAGTTCTGACAACCAAGCCATCAGTGAAATCTGAAGAAAGTGAGGAGTTGACAGGTATCATTGATGATGAAGTGGATTGGCAAATGACAATGATAAATCCCACTGTATTTTATCTTTTATGACTGATATGATTATTTAATTTTATCTATTAATTTTATAAGTTGATATATTACTGTTGATGTTGTGAACTTCAAAGGATCTTTGATACATTATTGGTTACATATGGTTTTGTCTGATGCCAACTATTTGGCAATGACTGTTGAACACAAATCTGAATTATATTTTGGTGATCTTTAATGAAACAACTTTCTTGAATAAATAATATCATAACAGTACAGTCATAAAAGAAACTGCATCATTTATTATACATTTAGTACAGTTTTTATGAGGTTATCAGTTACTTGCATACTTTTAACACACATTTGATATGTGATAAAATTTGATAATGTAATATTATTTTAGAAAAGTAGCATGTACATGATATGAAAGATAGCTCGTATAATTTTTGCAATAATAATCCCATTGAAATTGGTTGGAATTTGCAGGAATCTTACATTGATATTTTCACTGTGTGGTGTTTAACATTCAGTCATTTCAAATGACATACACAATTAATAAACACAGATGTTGTTTTTGAGATATGGTTTTTTGTAACAAGATAATAATGCAAGATACTTATTTGAATGAGGTTTCGAAATGAAATCACTCATATATGGTTACTGATCAGTGTTTTCGATGTTATATATTAAATACTGTTTTATGAATATAAATGGAGGTATATGATATTTTCTTACAGCGTAATAAATGATACAGTTTGGCCATATTTCTTGTAGAGTATGTGGTTGTAACACACTGACCCCCAATGAAGACTAACAAACAGAGAATTGGAAAAAAATAAAATTCTGTTTATGGAAACTTTTCTTGTTGTTTGTTTGAAATTCTACCTCTAACATTAAGTGGAACTGTGTAGAAAGAAAATAAAACCATTCTATATAATTCCAGTGATGTATTTTACTTTTTCAGGAGTAATTAATAGGATTGTTTGTAGATGTATTAATTAGATAATTAAATTACTTAATGTGTGGAACAAATTTTATCATTTCAACTTCAGAAGGGTATTTATTAAAATCATAAATTTTATATGAAAGCTACCACTGGTGCAAGATTATCACACCAAAACAAAAACTAGAGGCATGTGGCTTATCAAAAATAGATGGCAGAATTTGACCCCCAGAGGTGTACCAACAGGTAACATTTTGGGGTTGGATAATAAGAACTATTTACACTAAAGTGATCCAACTTTGAACAATGAACAGACCAGACACAAGTAATTCCAAAGCATACTTACCTTCCACTGCCACTTTAGCTATTTCTCAACATTGGCTTTGCCTATCTAAACATTGGTCTTGCATGCTCCAGTCTTTTATACCCCCTATAAATGCCATTGGCAATATCTAATTTGTAAATCTTTCCACTCATGTCAGTGCACCCTCTATCCTGACACTGTACATAAGCACCTCACTCAGATAATGTAATCACTTTTTCTCAATAAAGCATTGGTCACGGTTTTTCTAACGAAGTGCTGTGGTTTTTTTTGCTATGGATTGCGATTTTCATGTCGCCTTGTGGATTTATGTATATCTATAATTTCTTTAATAAAAAAAAATGGATGTGATGTTTGTGGTTAGGAATTCTCATATTACTGTTGTTAGCATGGCAGTTAAATTGACCTCCCCTATTCCTCCTTTGTTATAAATGGTTGGGGGGGGGGTCACTCTCAGTTGAGGCTGTCCATGTTCTGATCCGTTGGGAGATGGAGACATAAATTTGGCATGTGGGCATTTTCTCCTGGGGCCTCTGAAGATTTTTGTTGTTGATGTTGATCCTGGTTTTTCTGGGGAGAATTTGGACTCAGCTTCTCACAAGTTCAGTTTGGATCACCCACCTCTTACTCTTCTTCACCTGATATTACTGGTATATGTTGAGAGATTTACTGCTTTATTATATGACAGGATAGATATACCTTGTACTCTTATTTGTCTGTTGACATGTTTTGGCTTTCCTGGACATATTTCTTTCAATTCCACATTTAATTTTGGATATGTAGGGTTCCAGGTTGGTTCATGTGATCACTTTGAACCAATCACATTTTTTGTATTTCTTTGCTCTTCCTGCTTGCTATGTGATGTTTCTTCCCACACAAATTGTTGGCAAACTATCAATGGTCCTCACATCAACTTGCAGATGAATGGTGTCTCCCACTGACTTCTAGCTTGGTCAGATTGACTGTTTCTGTTCCTTCTATAGAGATACATTGGTGATGGGACTTTGTCTACCATCCTATAGCCTCTGGGTGTTACATGTAACTTCTTTTTATCGTCCCTTGATGTTCGCAGGTGTCCCAGAAGCATTTGTATTGTGAATTGCTGTCACCTGTTTGCTTTTTGTTATTGTTGACCTCTCAATCTTCTTTGGTTCTAGCAGCTGATTAGACTCAGACCTCAGTTTCAGGGCCACTCCATTTGGGTCGACCAACACCAATTGCATCGGTATCAACATAGGTGGGGGAGGGGAGGTCAGTTAGAGTGAGGTTACAACTATTGATGGACATCTGGTATTCCTTCAGTGCAGATCCATGGTTACTGTGGGTTCTGGTATTGAGGTTGGTCTTTCCATTCAATTCTCCATTATCCTCTTACCCTGTTGTGCTTCCACCTCTATCTGACCAGTGGGGGTGGGGGGTGGATTTTCATTTCACAGCTATCATAGTGACAGTTGGTCCCATTCTTCCAGGATTTTATTCCTGTTTCTTTGTACCTGAGACAAGAGGAGATTTGCGGACGATCGTCTTTTTTTCTCATCTCAACCCATTCTTCATTCCTCCCCAATCCACAATGGACTCCTTTCTCACCCAACATTGGCATTCTTTACCAGATCCATGGATGCTCAAGTTGGAGGTTGCTGAGGCATTTCTTCACATTCTCATGATGTATTCATCTTGCCTTAAGCTACGTTTTGTATAAAGGGATCAAGTTCTGCAGTTAAGGGATCTAGCCTTTGGTCTTGCATCAGCACCAGGTGTCTTCTGCTGGGTTGTATAAGTTTTCACCATGTTTTATGTCCATCCAACTCTACGCTATGGAACAGGCAGTCACGCTATTACTTACAGGAATGGTTTTATCTCTGGGGTCATGAGCTTCCCTCAAATCTCTTGATTTTTTGGGATGAGGACACATGTTATTATAGCAGTGGTCCCATTGCAAGTAATGGATCTTGAACTTCAATCACTGGATTTTCCAGTCCCTTTCATCAGGGGCAACATCTTCGTTTTTGAGTGGTGGTTGGTTCAGATCAACTCTATCATTGGTGTGTGTATGTATGTATGGGTATCTTTGTGTGAATGTATGTGTGTATATGTGTGTCTGAATGTGTGGGTATACTAGTGCGCACTGCTCATCTGTCCATACTTTATCTCTTCACAGATACTTCACTTCAAGACTGAGGTTTGTATATTCAAAGACGGGAATTACAGGGTATATGAATGGAGGACAAATCTTAATTCTGCATCAATAATTTAAACTTCTTGCTGTCCAAAGTCTAAATCTTTTGCAGGGGAATATCTTCATGAGATATTTCATCAGTTCTAGTGGTCTTTCTCTATGGGTACTATTCCAATCATATGAGCCTCCTGGTTTGCCATTTTTCTGGGGTGATGGATTTCATAGCAGATTGTCAGTTTCAGTTCTCACACTCTCTGTTGTGTGGATTTGTTTTCAGTTTGGGCCTCCAATGATAGCTTTTGCCACTCATTGATACTCCACTACAAGCCCTCATCCTCAGGCTTGGATGGTAGATGCATTCAGTCCTGCTTGGATGGGTTGCTCATCTATAACTTTCCCTCACTTCATTTCTTACTCAGAGTTCTGACTAGATTTTGATAGCCTAGATTGGCTGGCTTAGCTGTGATTTCCTTTTCTACATTTTTTCATGTGAATCCACCTCTGCATCTTCCTCTTTGGTTACCTTTATAGATACATATCCTTAATTCTACATTCTACACTAAGACTTTTCCCAGCTCATTTAGGTTTCACATCTACAGTTGCCTTAGTGGACCTCAGAAAGAGTTTGCACCATTTACCAAAAATGTTCACCATATCTTGTTTGGACCTGGTTTTTACTCGAGTTTAGCTTTGTCTCTTGTCATTTATGTCAGACAACTTTTTCATCTCTCTTTAATTATGCTACACATCTGAAGGTTTTGGACTCCCCAGTGCTTTCCAGCCATTTTCCTTACTGGCCTTTTTTCATTAGCTACTCAAGGTATTAAGGTGGTACTACATACCTCCTCTTGACAACCATTCGAGCCTTTAGCCTCATGTACCATGTATCACCTCTCCCTTAATGGGCTTTTGTTGTTGCTGACATGCTGATGTCATCGGTTGGAGTTTTTGGCATGTTTGTAGGACTCATTTTATCTCCCCCTTTAGGCCTTTCTATATCCTGATAGGTCCTCTCTTTCTAAATCTCTGGCGAACAGGGAAGGGGATACATCCCTTTCCACAATTATTTTGCCAACTATTTCTCACCTCTGCAATCATATGCTGATAATTTGTTTCATCCTGTCAAGCTCCTGTCAGGCTCACCATAACTCTTTTCGTGGTGATAGTTCTCGTCTCTGTATTCTGGGATTCTTTGGTTTCCAAAGATTTATCCCCACTTCCTTGGAAGTGGTTTTTGCAAATATCCAGGTTCCATATTCTGGATTTTACAGGCAAGGATTCTTCTAAGAGTTACATCCCATCAGATTCAGCACATTTATGTCTTTCACTGCCCATTTTCTTTAATTCACTTGGGGGCATTTTATGTGCTTGTATGTGAACTTTTCCTAATGCTTTTTTTCTCACATTCTTTATATGATCTTGCAGTTTTTCTTCTGGGGTTTTTTTACTACCCCCTTGGCAATTTTAACAACATCTGTTATATTATACTGAGGAGGAAGTAATCTTCTCTTGTCTTTCTTTTTCAGGGCCCCTTATATCTTGCTTTCACTTGATCCCATTTTGTGTTGCCCAGACAGGTGTGCTTTTATCAATCCAATTCCACACTAGCAACCCATTTGACTGTACTTACTTCTGGTTGCAACAGGCTTTGTAGAAATGAGGTGTTCCATAAGACCATCTAGGTGCATTAACAGATGGTATTACCATCTTATCTTAGATTGCTACTCATGGACTATCATGAATAAAGCTAAAATGGATTCTGCCTGTCTCTGCTGATCATCGGATTGAATAAATCGGGGTTGGTTTGCTTTTAAAAATTTGGGGAACTTGGTTCACCTATTGCACTGTTTCTAGAACTCTGTTCCCTGGAACTCCCCAATGCGCATTACCCCCAGATTCTACTAGTGGAACAAGGGAGTCTTTACCACACCCAGTTTCCAATTGTTGGGATGGTGGACAGAGGCTTTTCCTCCAGAGTGTTCAAGTGTGTTCCTCTACTTTTGTAGGAGAGGGCAAAGGTGGGTGCTCTCCTACCCGGGTCACTGGATGTATTTCCCAGATGTTGGTAAGAGTGGCCTCGGCCTACGTGGGAGCCTGCTCGTCACACCAGTTCATATTTGATCCTATGCTATCCAGTTGAGGTGTGCTTGGCCCTTCTTATGAAACATATCGGGTTGTATATTGTTCGTGGGTGAGGTCCACTATCTCCTCATAATTCTAAATGAAAAAATGGTCTAATCCTAGGTTCTTGGTTGAACACAGTGTTCCACATCCTCTCCATAATTCCAGGGGAAATGGAATACTCCTTGCCCACTCGATTGGAGAGTGAGGATGAATGTTCATAATTCCAGACTGGATGAGTTTTGTTCCTTTGGTTGAAT